GAGCGCCGCCGCGCTTCCCAAGCGGCGCACTATCCAGTGCGCCACTGGGCCGGCCCCTTGCCAAAAGCTTTTTAATATTAGCTTTTACGTTTAGGTCTATGATCTATCTTTTATTAAGTTCTTCTGTATTAAATGGGCTATGGGTCAAGGTTCATATTTTTTTCCATACAGATATAATTTGTGAAAAGTCTTTGTTCCAATATAATTTGTGAAAAGTCTTTCTTTCCTCATTGCATTTTATTGGTGCCTTTGTCAAAAAAAATCGAAAGATCATCTATGAGCAACTCTGTCTGTGGACCCTTTTTTTGTTCCACCAATCATTTGTCTATCCTTACATCAATTTGCATTGTGTTATTTATTATAACTTTATAGTAAGATTAGAAATCATGGGCCGGCCCGGTGGCGCACTGCTACAGTGCGCCGCTTGGGAGCATGGCGGCGCTCCCGCCGAGGGTTCGGATCCCACATACAGACCGGTTCCCGCTCACTGGTTGAGCGAGGTGCGGTGCAGCGCTGAGGGTTGCGATCCCGTTGCCGGTCCCGGTCCGGTACAGGTGCGACACTGAGGGTTGTAATCTGTTGCCGGACACGAAAAAAGACAAAAAGGGAAAAAAAAAAAAAGAAATCATGTTTGTGAGTCCTCCAACTTTCTGCTTTTCAAAATGTCTTGACTATGCAAGGTCCTTTTCATTTCTATATAAATTTTGGAATTAGCCTGTGTGTTTTTACCAAAGATGCCTTTTAAGAATCCATTGAATTTGGGGGAGATTAACAATATTGATTGTTCCTATTTATTTGTTTAGGTCATCTTTTATTTCTTCCAGCAATGTTTCATAGTTTTCAGTAGAGATTTTATACATTTTCTGTTAAATTCATCCCTAGATATTTTATTTTTTGATGCTAATGTAAATGGCATTATACTGTAATTTTTCTGTGTCTAATATATAGAAATATAACTGATTTTTGTTATTGACTCTGTGTGCTGCCTCAATAAATTTATTTACCCATTAATTTATCAATTTGTTTGAATTTTCTAGATGTGTAATTATGTCTTCTGTGAATAAAGACAGTTTTACTTCTTTTCTGGTATTTTTTTCTTGCCATATTGCGTAGGCTAGGACTCTCCAGTATAATCTTGAAAATAAGTGATGAGGGGGACATTGTTGCTTTTCTCCTGGTCTTGTAAGGAAAGCATTCTATATTTGTACCATTTTTGCAGATACCCTTTATGAGACTGATTTTTTTTTTCTATGTTGAGTTTACTGAGAATTTTACCATGAAAATGTGTTGAATTTTATTAAGTGATTTTTCTTCATCCATTGTGACAGTGCCACTTTTGTGTGATGTACTGTATTTATTTTTTTATAGGATCAATTTATTTGTTATGATTTTTATGTCTTTGTTCATGAGGGCTATTGGCATACATTTTTTTTTTCTTGCAGTATCCTTGTCAGTTTTTGAGATCAGGGTTTTATACCAGCCTCATTAAACGAAGTAGGAAATGCTCTCAGCCTTTATTCTATGAAAAAGTTTGTGTGTGATATAACTGCTTTCCTGTATGCTTGGTGGTATTCACCAATGAAATCATCTGGGCCTAAAGTTTCCATTGTGTGAAGTTTTCATTGTACAAAGCCTTTTTAAATAATGCACTCAGTTTAATAGAGAACTCTTGCGCCATTTTCTGAAATTTGTGTTTTTCAAGAGTTTCTCAAATTCTTTTATATTTTTCAGGTTTTTTGGCATAAAATTGTAATGACCCCTTACTATCCTTTTAGTATCTTTAAGATCTTCAGTACTGTTCCCTGTTTTGTTTATGTTATTGGCAATTTATGTTTGTTGGTTTGTTTTTCTCTTTATTTCTTGATCACTCTTGCCTAGGAACTTATCAGCCTTATCATTCTTTGCAAAGAACCTACTTTTGACATTGGTGGTTTTCTCTAATATTCATCTTTTTAAACATTTCATTGATTTCTCCTCTTATCTTTTCCTTCTACTTTCTTTAACTTTAGTTTTCTCTTTTCTAGCTAATTAACATAGAAGATTAAAGCATTTATTTTAAACCTTTCATTTTAAACATTTATGACTATAAATTTCTCTACCCTATGTCTCCCTGCATAGATTTCAATATGTCTTATTTTCATTGTCATCCCTTTCTATTAGTATTTCCCTTTTGAATGCCTCTTCTCTTCTAAGAATTCTAGCATTTAGCACTTGTATTTCTCATTCCCACAGTGTCTCTAGTCGACTTAGGCTTCCGGGTTTAGATGTTGGAGAAACAGAGCGATGCAGGGGCGGGAGGGGCTCGCATGCCTTGCCCACGTGGCCCTGTTGTCCGCAGCCATTACTCCTCCTCAGTCTGACTTATTTGATTTTAGGTCACAGCTCT